AACTAACCATAATTTGATATTTGCGCTCAAATGGTTGCATATTTTGTTCAATACTTCGTGCCACTTTGATCAAATTTTTCAGTAGGTTAAATGTAACGAATACACTGGCAAATGATAAGAAACCAAGGAAAGCATTCAATCGTAAGTAATTCATCGCTTCTTGACGATTTTTGAATGACCAAACGGTAAAGATGTGAAAAAAGTTGATGACATTGAATATTATCGATACGAGACTGTACGCAAATGTGTATTGAGCTGATGCATAAGTTGCCGTGAAGAATATCGAAGAGGCAGAATTAATGAACAGATAAAAGAAGAATGATGTAATTACGAGTGATGATAATAACCAACGACATTCATACAATTCAATTGCCTAAATTATCTTTTCGTTAATTTCCGTTTACCATAACATTTCAAATATGTGATAGCTTCTTTCTTTTTATGATTAAAGAGAGCTACAATATCATAATACTGTTCATTCTTCGCTTTCAATCATGTTTATTTATTAAATTAACATTTATTTTACTCGTCTGCAACAGTGACGTAAGTGAAGTTCTCTTTTACAATATGTTTATCAGTATGAAATTCTATCCAGAAAATGATATAATTAGGACGAAATTGAAAAAGGAAATGTTTCTACCTGATATGGTGAATTCCAATAAACAGAGATAGTAGTAATAAACCAAATAAATGAAATAACAGTAGATAAATATCCAAGAAATATTAGTGAATTTCGTGTTATTGTCGAAATTTCCATTGTTTTTCTGAAATTTGAATAAAAGCAAAATTTGAAGGAATTACAAATGAGAGGAATATATCGCACACAAATGTTTTACAACTATTCAACCATTGATCAGCGAAAAAGAAAACTGTACCATTAAACAATCAAATCTATCAAAAGCCGTACTTCTTTTCATATCATCCTTAAAACATACCTCAGTTCAAAGCAACTGATCTCTCAATAATTTGCTGTAGTAATATGTATTCATAATTTTTAATTATGTCAATTAATTATCACCTAATAGAGGGCCAGTTTTATTATTATT